CAAAACCTTTAAAGAAGAACTAATACCAATACTTTTCAAGCTACTTCAGGAAATAGAAAAGGAGGGAGAACTTCCAAATTCATTCTATGAGGCCAACATCACCCTGATACCTAAACCAGACAAAGACACTTCAAAGAAAGAAAACTACAGACCAATATCTCTAATGAACCTAGATGCAAAAATCCTCAATAAAATTCTGGCGAATCGGATACAAAAACATATAAAAAAAATTGTACACCATGATCAAGTAGGATTCATCCCTGGGATGCAAGGCTGGTTCAATATACGGAAATCAATAAATGTTATTCACCACATCAATAGACTTAAAAATAAGAACCATATGATCATCTCGATAGATGCGGAAAAAGCATTTGACAAAGTACAGCATCCCTTTATGTTCAAAACTCTAGAAAAACTAGGGATAACAGGAACATACCTCAATATTGTAAAAGCAATCTATGCTAAGCCTCAGGCTAGCATTATTCTGAATGGAGAAAAACTGAAGGCATTCCCTCTAAAATCTGGAACAAGACAGGGATGCCCTCTCTCTCCACTTCTCTTCAACATAGTTCTCGAAACACTGGCCAGAGCAATTAGACAGACGAAAGAAATTAAAGGCATAAAAATAGGAAAAGAAGAAATTAAATTATCACTATTTGCAGATGATATGATTCTATATCTAGCAGACCCAAAAGGCTCTACAAAGAAACTATTAGAGCTAATAAATGAATTCAGCAAAGTGGCAGGATTTAAAATCAACACGCATAAATCAAAGGCATTCCTGTATATCAGCGACAAATCCTCTGAAATGGAAATGAGGACACCCACTCCATTCAAAATATCTTCAAAAAAAATAAAATACTTGGGAATCAACCTAACAAAAGAGGTGAAAGACTTATACAATGAAAACTACAGAACCCTAAAGAGAGAAATAGAAGAAGATCTTAGAAGATGGAAAAATATACCCTGTTCATGGATAGGCAGAACTAACATCATCAAAATGGCGATATTACCAAAAGTTCTCTATAGGTTTAATGCAATGCCAATCAAAATCCCAATGGCATTTCTTGTAGAAATAGAGAAAGCAATCATGAAATTCATATGGAAAAATAAAAGACCCAGAATAGCAAAAACAATGCTAAGCAAGAAGTGTGAATCAGGCGGTATAGTGATACCAGACTTCAAACTATACTACAGAACAATAGTAACAAAAACAGCATGGTACTGGTACCAAAACAGGCGGGTGGACCAATGGTACAGAATAGAGGACACAGAAACCAATCCACAAAACTACAACTATCTTATATTTGATAAAGGGGCTAAAAGCATGCAATGGAGGAAGGATAGCATCTTCAACAAATGGTGCTGGGAAAACTGGAAATCCATATGCAACAAAATGAAACTGAATCCCTTTCTCTCGCCATGCACAAAAGTGAATTCAAAATGGATCAAGGAACTTGATATCAAATCAGAGACGCGCCGTCTGATAGAAGAAAAAGTTGGCTACGATCTACAGTCGGTGGGGTCGGGCTCCAAATTCCTCAATAGGACACCCATAGCACAAAAGTTAATAACTAGAATCAACAAATGGGACTTACTCAAACTAAGAAGTTTTTTCTCAGCAAAAGAAACAATAAGAGAGGTAAATAGGGAGCCTACATCCTGGGAACAAATCTTTACTCCTCACACTTCAGATAGAGCCCTAATATCCAGAGTATACAAAGAACTCAAAAAATTAGACAATAAGAGAACAAACAACCCAATCAACAAATGGGCCAAGGACCTGAACAGACACTTCACAGAGGAGGACATACAGTCAATCAACAAGTACATAAAAAAATGCTCAACATCTCTAGCTGTCAGAGAAATGCAAATCAAAACCACCCTAAGATACCATCTCACTCCAGTAAGATTGGCAGCCATTAGGAAGTCAAACAACAACAAGTGCTGGCGAGGATGTGGGGAAAAGGGTACACTTGTACATTGCTGGTGGGACTGCAGATTGGTGCAGCCAATTTGGAAAGCAGTATGGAGATTTCTTGGAAAGCTGGGAATGGAGCCACCATTTGACCCAGCTATTCCCCTTCTTGGTCTATTCCCTAAAGACCTAAAAAGAGCATGCTACAGGGACACTGCTACATCGATGTTCATAGCAGCACAGTTCACAATAGCAAGACTGTGGAACCAACCTAGATGCCCTTCAATAGACGAATGGATAAAAAAAATGTGGCATTTATACACAATGGAGTATTACTCTGCATTAAAAAATGACAAAATCATAGAATTTACAGGGAAATGGATGGCATTAGAGCAGATTATGCTAAGTGAAGCTAGCCAATCCCTAAAAAACAAATGCCAAATGTCTTCTTTGATATAAGGAAAGTAACTAAGAACAGAGTAGGGACGAAGAACAGGAGAAGAAGATTAACATTTAACAGGGATGAGAGGTGGGAGGGAAAGGGAGAGAGAAGGTAAATTGCACGGTAATGGAAGGAGACCCTCAGGGTTATACAGTGGAGGGGGTAGAGAGAGAGGAGGGGAGGGGAGGGGAGAGGTGGGGAGGGGGGAGGGTGGATGATGGGAAAGGCAGCGGAGCACAACAGACACTAGTATGGCAATTTGTAAATCAATGGATGTGTAACTGATGTGAATCTGCAATCTGTGTATGGGGTGAAGGTGGGAGTTCATAACCCACTAGAATCAAAGTGTGGAATATGATATGTCAAGAAATTTGTAATGTTTTGAACAACCCACAATAAAAAATTAAAAAAAAAAAAAAAAAAAGAATAGTGATATATTTAACGTAGGTTCCTGACCTCCAGAGGGACTTTTTCTTCTGAGCATTCCAAGACTATAGGAGATTTAATTTGCATGTTAGAATTTTCTTATCCTTACTCTGGTCTCCAGTTTTGCTGCAGTATGTAGCAGATGCCCATGTGACACACTGGCTCCAGCACTCAGGAAAAGTTCTGCTTTTTTCACTTTCCCAAGGTAGAATCCCGCTCCCTGTGCCAAGTCTGATTCATACCTGTGCCCAGAATCAGAAAATGCCTTAAAGGAATAAAACAATCATTAGCTCATATAGAAAATGATTTTATCCTTTCCTGGAATTTTAGGTTGTCTAATTCTTCTTGCTTCCACAAGTTTTCAAAATTTTTAAAATATGATTTTTCAGTTGTTGCTTTGGCAATGTTGATCTTTCTGGGTTTCCTACATTTTACTCCAAAGCAAAACTCATTTCTTCAATTTTCCAAACTTGGAACTGATTCATATTTGCTTCTGAAATATGATTGAAACTGTACAATGTAAACTCTAAAGGTGCTAATTGTTGTGCTTTCAACAGTGTAGGAAAAGTCTGTCTACAGTGAAATGGATGAAAAATTTCCCCATTCAGCCTGCAACCAACAGAGAAAGAGGAGAGTCCTGGGGATGATACAGAGTGCTGGCTTTCCTTAAGGCTCAGAGGCAGGCTGCTGATTCAACTCCTTTTGGATTTTGCAATTCCCCACTCTCCTTGAAATAGATTCCTTCTTTTGTTTTTAGGTATGATTAAATTATTTTTCCATCTCTAGCAACAAAAAAGTTAGTTATGTTATTCAATGTATTAACACAAATAATAATGTTGTTTTATTGTTATTCTTTTAGACTTTTCAACGTTTACCTTTTATTTCCTTCTTTGTTTTACAATAATGTTGACAAATATGGCATGTTGCTACCTTCTTTATGCTTGTCTGATGTAGTTTCTCATTATTTCTAATATGATGCTTTCTAAACTTCGGGTTCTTGGGAAACACACAACCAAATACATTGCAACTTATGTAAAGTAAGTAGAATTAAGATCTGAATGAGGCTAGGCGGAACTCTTATGCACAAAATATGAGTTCTAGTATACTAACATTTAGACTTATTTTTGTCTACATTTTTGGTTTTTATATTATTCTTACTAGATGAACTTGCTTTAGTATTGTTTTCTGGTTGGTAAGATACCTTTTAAATAACTTTATTTGAATTATTTTATGCATAGGAATAGGCCTTTTTTTTGCTTTGTTCAGTTGGCTGATCCATAGAGGGGAATAATCAATTAAATTCAACATACTAGGGGAAAAAAGACAAGCAATTTAAGACTTATAGGTTATTTTTCTAATTGATATTCAAGCTAATATGGAAATGTGGAAAATATAGAATTTTACGATGTTTAACACATCTTCCTACCCCCACAATTAAAAGAATAAAGTCATTAATGAATTCAAAAAAAAAAAAATGTATTGCTGAACTAAACATTCCCTGACATTACTTTAACCCAAACAAGTGAGGAGATAAATCCCCTGAACTATCAACAAGAATCCAAGGAGGAACAAAAGAGAGGAAACTCGGGGCCCATGCATGCACATAAGTTTGTCAAAGTAAACAAAGTACCATATATAATTATAAAACTATACTAATAATTTTAAAAGAAAGAAAATTGCCAATTTCTAAATTCTAAAATTTAATCCCATTTCAAAGATTTTTATAGTTTGTTATACAATCCAAATTATTTTTAATTGATAAAAATACCAAGAAAAGTATGAATTCTTTATAAAAATATACTATAATACAAGAGTTATATATTTATTTATTGAGGAAAAATAGATCATCTGAGCAAATGCTACTTTTGCCAGCCACAAACTACAGAACACTCATCTATGCTATGTAGGAGGCACTCTCTGCCCACCACACCACAAGTAACATGGCTCAAAGGGGACCTCATTTGGTTCTTAAAAGAAGCTTGGATTCCAGATTTCTGCATCAGTCATCTTAATTTTAAATATGGACACAATGCTTAGATGTAAATTAAATAAATTCATGAGATAAAAATGATGAAGAAGATGGACAGAAATTTCAACAACTGTTATTATTCTGATCAAGAAAACCCTGCTTAAAAATCCACATTTGTTGAAAAATGTCACACTTAAAACAAACATATTTTAAATATTTTGGAAATAATCATGTTTGGTGTATACCGTAGTTCTGGCTTCTATATCTGCATTGAGTGAAAGCAGTTTTTCTGCTAGTGATGTTTTCTTCAGAGAAAGAGCAAAGTGAAGAGGAGTTTCATTTTGGTTGTTGTGAGCATTTGGATCAGCACCATTTTCTAGAAGGATAGCTGCACATTTCTCTTCCAGATATTGTAGGGCCTGTTGGGTTTATACCAAGAAATAAACTGTAAATTTTGACAATCCAAGAAAAACATTTCATATGTTTTACTAATTAATCATATTAAATAGAATTAATCAATTTTTCTTCTAAGCATTTCTATCATTTTTTTTTTCTGCAGATATCCTTGGCTACATCTACCTTCATCAATGGTGTGTTGCCATCACGGTCACAGAGGTGAACATTACAATTTTTCTTCACTAAAAAAGCCACCAGTTCTGGGTGGCCAAAGGCACAGGCATAATGTAGAGCAGTCCTATGAAGGCAAGAGGCTTTGTTAGAAGTTCATAAAGCATCCTCTCAAAATACATGATTATTTATGCAATTATCAACATTAAATAGTATGCAAATCCTCTATTATTTTCTAAAGAAAGTATAATATTTACTAGCTGTTAGTACACACTAAGTTAATAAATGAGCAGCCTATTCTGTTGACCTTTTCTTTTGTCTTTTTTGGATACTGCTATGGACTGAAGCCAGGAGCACTTAATCCAGGAGCAATATCCTAAGCCCATTTTTATTATTATGATTTTTTTTTTCAATTTTGAGGCAGAGTCTCCATAAGTTTCCCAGGCTGTCATTGAACTTGCAATGCTTCTGCTTCATTCTCCCAAGTAACTAGAAATACAGGCATAAGCTACTGGGTCTGGACCCATTGATCTTTTATTTTTGATTATTTTGGTTTTTTAGGTGCTGGCATAGAAACCACGACCTGGAGCCTCCTAGATAAAGTCTCTACCATGGAGCTATATCCCATCCCAGAGTGTTCTACTTGCCTAGAAAGAGCATAGACCTTGAATTTAGCTCAACATTTGCTTGAATTCTACTTTAACCTCTGTGACATGCTATTTAGTTCTCCTATCCATCAATTTTATCTCCAATAAAATACTGATTTAAATTAGTAGTTACCTACTGGGATGATAGTGTGATGCTTAAAATTAAAATCTATGTAAAATGTTTGAACAGTTTCTACCACAAGCAACAGCTCATTAATTGTTGGCTATTGTAATTATTACTATTACTATGAATCAACAGAGTATTTCACTTAATGAAGAAGTCCTATTATAGTGATTTTACAAATATCTTGTAGGGACTATGTATTTCAATGAGTCTTAGATGCTCTTTTTTTCTATCATTTTGACATCACTGACATTGGAAAGCCACTACATGTATAATGGCAGCATTCAATTTTTTTATTCATACATGAAATAAAGGACCATCACACAGTACCTTACCTTAAGTGAAATGTGATACACACAAGAGGTCTACAGTGGTTATAGTCATATGAGTGGCATTTAAATTAATTTTAGTTGTTAAAAATACTATAGGTAAGGAGAGATGAACGATAAAACAATAATAAAAGACCAAATTAAAACCATAGTAATCCTTGCTTTTCTTTTTTTAAAGTAATTTAAAGCTAAAGGAAATGTAGGACTCAAATGAATTAGCATGGTTCAATCTATTCAATATTTAGATTTACAGGATATACATAAATCAGGTATTTCCAATGTTCAGTTTTTAACACTGTCTTAACTTTTAAAATGGGCAGTTCATAATTTCCTACCACCAGAGTGCTTCTGTTTGAAATGGAAGAGGAAAAGTTTTACTTGAAATTGAGTCCTATCTCTGAAGTTTTAAATTTCTGATTAATCAAACATAAAGCTTTTAAGGAAGAGTCTTAAGAGTCATTATGTCAATTACATCCTAGGTATTCAGAGTATGGGTATAAATGAATAAAATAAAAGAACAGATAAGTATACTTGAGTTCAGTTTTTTAAAGCAAAAATTATGAAGGAAAGCAATAATTTGGCAGTAGTAATAATCTTTTATTACTTGTTCTCTTTTTTATCAGCATGCCACAGAATTAGTAACCTATAATTGCATGTATGTAATAAAACATATCTATAAGAAATGTAATAATATCTATAAGCACAGATGAAAAGTTCCCCTTGCTTCTACATAGTAATGTACTAGAAGAAAACACAAATGCCTCTTTATACATTTTATATTGGCAAGAACGTTCCTAAGAAAGAAAGAACTGAAAAGAAGAGTTCCATTTTTCCCAGCTTTTAAAAAATCTTTTATTTATTTATTTATTTATTTAATTCTGGTGCTGAGGATTGAATGCATGGCCTTCAGTTTGCTAAAGCCAAAATGACTTACATTGGACAACGTACTCTTTTTCCAGATGCTCAAGTAACATATGAACATAGGAAAAAATATTTGTGCTTCTGGTAAGAGAAGGAATTTAATTTAACAAGAAATGAAATATATTTCAGAGCTACAAAATTTTGAGGATGCAGAGAAGTTGTACTTACTCTGCAGCTTAAGGTTCAGCTACTTAAGACTCACCCTTCAAATAGATGATTTGATGGTAAGTTCTGTGCAACATTTAGAAAGTATTCTAGTATATTACATATACTTTCAGATATTTTCATGTTTTGTATTTTATCCAGATGTACTCACTCATATTTTGGCTGTTGGCAAAGAAGTAATTCGTAAAAGTTTACAATGTATTTTGATACCCAGATTGGCAAGACTTAGTACTTTTCTATCGCCTTGAAGTCCGTGCCTTTCTTTCAGGGTGCTGTCAACTTGTTTGTCGTTATAAACAGCCACAGTTCAGCCTCAGCTATCCCCCTTCGTCCACCATCGTCACGATACAGGATGCGAGGCAAGGCACTGCACTTGAGTGATCCTTGACGTGGACCTCAAGGAGAGCATGTCCTGTTGCATGCGGGTTAGACGCGTCCACGCCCCGCGCCACGAAAAAAGGCGTCGGCTGATATGGCTTCAGATCTGGGGAAGGCGCCTCCTTAGGACTGAGTCATACTATGCAGCCACTTCTGCACAGTGGGATAGGACCTCTACTCTCGCCTGTATTGTTTTAAGAAAACAGAAAAGGGGGAACTGTGGTGAGCCGCTTCTGCCGTTTCTGCAGACTATGGTCGCCATTACAAGATGACGCTGGCTCCGCTGTGGTCTGTGACAAACAACTTCTTATCTGGGAAAGTTGGCACATGATTTTTCACCACCCTGTGAGAAAGCTCCACGCGGCAGCTTTGCATTGGGGCTTGGGATGCTTTATTAAGGCTGGGAGGGGCATCCGAGAGAGAAGAAGAAGAAATATCAAGGGCCTGAATAAACTGCTGAAAGAAGATTCCCGAGTTGCGTCTTCCTTGCCGGCAAGGGGTCGCGACAATCAGTATTAGAAATCTGATGCTCCATCACCTTTTTAAAAGATCTTAAAAAATACTTGACAACTTTATGGTATGAACAGTTTACAACCTTAAAAGGGGGGGGGGCGTTACAAGTTATGATTCGAGGGCATTTTCAAATAGGCAAAAAAAAAAAAAAAAAAAAAAAGCCTGGAGGTGCCTGTTTGGAGAATCATCTATACAGGTGATTGGCCGGTAGTCTGCAGGTTGGCTACTTCACCAGAGATAACACGCTGCAGAACTACCAGAAAGGCTCATTCTCTCCACAATGGTATGCTCCACCGGGGGGGCGAGGGGGGCAGTATTGCACAAAGGACGAATCTCCCCACGTTTCAACCTCTTACCTGCACTAGGTGAATCCCACCACCTGGATTCACCCAATCCCCACCCATCTCTCCGCCCCGGGCACCTGGCCAGAGGCTTTGGCATACAAACACGGACAAACGCTGGACTAGGGAAAAGACCCCCAACGCTACAAACGGTGGAGGTCAGGCATCTGGGGGCGGGGGAATCGATCTCCGACAACACAAACACCAGCGACGGGCCCCTCGCAGGGTCTCCGGACATGACCTCGCACTCTCGGACCGACCTAGCACTCGCGGCCCTGGCAGTGTCTATAATAGAGTCCGAGCTCTTCGGTCAACACCGTGGGGCTAATTTAGAGCCTCTGGCAGGACCGCGACGCCAGAGCACCTTCAGGTTTTTAAGGCCACCAACGGAGCGGCACCCCGCAGGAACCGCCAACTCAGTCCCCAGAGGCCAAGGCCAGGAACCGGTCGTTTCTCGAACACCTGGCTCCGAGACCTAAAATAAGATTCGACAGTAGCCTAGCCCAGCACATCACACCCGAAACCTCACCTCTGCGAAAGCAAAAGGCCCTTTGGCCGAAAAACGTCGCCAAACCGCCGTCGTTCCTCTCCAACCGCTGCAACAAACACCCTACAAAATGGCGGCAGCGCCGTCACCCTACAACCCCCTAGGCGGCCTCTAGCCCCACCTACACCGCGCGAACGCGACTGCGTGACAGAGCCAGGCGCATTCCCGCAGCTCCCGTAAGGGGCGTGGCTTCTGGTCGTAAGGAGCGCCTCCAGCACACTGCGGCTGCGCGGGCCCGCTCATTACATCACAAAAGCCCCGCCCTTTGGGCCTGGCGTGTGCTCGGGTTGTTTTCGTCCTGGGAACCCAGGGAAAAGGCAAGGTGAAAACCCTGAAGCTCGTGTCGCGCCTCCGCTCTTCAAAGTGTAGTTTTCCTGGGTGCGGGATCTCTCGGCAGAGTCAGCCGTGACCCGTTTCCTTCCTCTCACCCTCTAGTGGGACGCCCCGTCGCAGTGCAGTTTGCACTCTTCTCGCCCTCCCCCAGCCTTTCCCACCCCACACAGCTAACGTGCCGCCTGGGCGGCTTGGTGAACCGGGTCGCTGTAGTCCAGCACACTTGGGAGCTTCCCGTCGAAAATGGATTCGGATACACAATGAAGTCTCAGAAAACAAGCTCAGGAGTTGCTTTTCAAGGCAAGTGCTCCTAAATCAGAACAAAACAAAAAATTGGAAAGTTAAGACTCCTGACAAGGTTCTTCCTGTTACTTCCTACCTCAGGGCAAATAAAGTAGCTGGAAGTTTTCCTAAGAAAGTTGTCTCCGTTATTTGTACCTGTGAGTTGATATTATTCATCCAAGGCCGAGTACTGTCGCAAAGCTACTGAGTCTCCATTAGGGGCATGCTTACCTCAAATAAGGTATTTGGCTGTCCTAAGAATCCCAGGAAGCTTTGCAGTGTGAATGTGATGGGGTCAGAAGGCTTGAGGGCCAAACTTCGTGCCCTGGAGAACACTTTCAAAGAACAGAGGCGAAGCATCCAGAAAAGGAATGATCAGATGGAGGAGAAGCAAGAATATGGTGTCAAAACAAGGGAAGTTTACAGCTTGGTATGGTTTGTCCCCCAAAGTTTGATGGACGGGAAGCTAGGTCCCCAGTGTGGCAACGCTGAGGTGGTAGGACTTTTAAGAGGTGGGTCCTTATGGAAAGTAATTGGTTATAAGGGTTCCATTCTGATATGGATCAATGCTTGTCTTGCAGTATGGTTGAGTCTCACAGGAGTTATCACCATAGCATATTTTTATATAGAGGAGCCAACACATACCTTGGACCCTTCTGCATGAGGCTATTTCTCTTTACAAATATCCACCACGTTGTGACACAGACAAAGGGGGCCCTCACCAGGATGCTGGCATACTGCTGATTGGACCCTCCATCCACCAGATCATGAGACAAATAAATCATTTATAAGTACCCAGCCTCAGGTATTTTGTTTAAGCAACATGAAAACAACTTACACAGGAGAAAAAAATAACAGCCAAATACTGAGAAAGATTTAGGTGTGGTTAGTACTGAAAAGTGTCAAGGAAATTCCATATTCTGACTAGGATTCTCTTGATATAAGGAAATGCCAGATATCATCATTAGAAGAATAGGATTAAATTTTTGTGGGCCCAATAGCAGGTGGGAGTCCTAAACTATTGTACCTTAAATAGATAAAAGAAGGGTGCCTTCATATCCTTAGTGATCTAACATCATAGAAACTCGGCCTGCTACTCTAGATAAATAGGATGCATTTGGATAAATTTCATGAAGATTGTACTCCACTTCAAAAAAAATGAAGTAAAGGCTGGGTGTGGTGGCTCGGGAGGCTGAGGCAGGAGGATCAAGAGTTCAAAGCCAGCCTCAGCCATAGCGAGGCACAGAGTAACTCAGTAAGACCCTGTCTCTAAATAAAACAAAATAGGGCTGGGGATGTGACAGTGGCCAAGTGCCCCTGAGTTCAATCCAGGTGCAAAAAAAAAAATGAAGTAAAGAAACAAAGTTGAAAAGACCCTTGGAAAATTTTAAGAGAAAACTCTTTATGCTATAGAATGAAATAATCACCTGGAATAGCTCTCATCATTGCAGCTACAAGTTTAGATCTTAGCTGCCCCAGGAAGGTCCATCTCCTTTAAGACATTGCCCCTGACCACATCAATTTCCATCCAGTCCCCTACTCTAACTACTTCAGTGATGGAAGAAGTCCTCAAATAGACCAAGATACACTGGTGTGCCTGGAGTCACTCAGGTATGCCAACCAGTTTGCCCAAAGAATGAAATTTATACATTCTAGGACTGATTGCACATTGTTTCAGGGACATCTATCAAATGGAATACTGTTGAATAACGTGTGGTCTTGCAAGGTAAGGTAAAGCTCAAATTGCAGCACATAAGGGTATAGATTCAAGCTGGAGCCAGAGAAAGTTCTGTTTGCTGGAGTATGAGCAGTCTTTGCTCATGAGCAGGGTCAGGATGCTGCTTAAACAGCAGCACAGGTTAAAAGGCAGCCATGTGGCCAAGCACAGTGGCACATGCCTGTAATCCCAGTGGTATAGGAGGCTGAGAGGGAGGATCTCGAGTTTAAAGCCAGCCTCAGCAACTTAGCAAGTCCTTAAACCACTCAGGGAGACCCTATCTCTAAATAGTTAAAACAAAAGGGCTGGGGATGTGTCTCAGGGGTCAAGTGCCCCTGGGTTTATTCCCGGTACAAACAAACCAACCAACCATGTGGAAAGGCCACCTTCAGAAGTTTTTATAAATATCACACACTCTTTTTAACAACCAAGAGTGACAGTAGTGGCTCTGCTTTATAATTGCCACTATCTTGTTTTGGAGTAATCTTGAGTATTTTAATTGTGCCACCCATAGGTGTATTCTTTAGAAGCATGTAGTGATCAGAAGAAAGTTGAGATTTTCCTATGACTAGTGTCTACATAACACATAATATAGTAGTACCATAGTACTCTAGAATATTCTCTGTAGCCTTCACTAGAAGCAAGGATTTGGTTTATATTATCTTTGGTATCTCAGTGCTTAGAAGCCACTAAATATTGGTAGATTGTCTGCATATGCAGCATTTGCCATTTTGCTTAGTTGGTTTAAGTTCTGAAGTAATTAACTCAAGGGTAGACAATTACTCCTGGATCTCTGTACCAGGTATCATACCACTTATATGGCAACCCTTTCTATTAAGATAGTTATTTGACAAATAGACAACCTTGATCAGAAGACTTAATGAGATGATCTATTTATATTTCCGAGAATCCACTACCAACACCATAAACACTGCCTAATCTAGTAGCTTCATCTCTACACAAGAACAGATATGTCCAAGAAAATATTAAATCATGTGTTAGAAACAACTATATAAAGAAAATCTTTGTTGTGAAGAGTTAATCAAAGAATATTCTTATGTATTCTAGAACATATGTTCTACATGCTTAACTTCAGACATTGAAAGTATTCACCTGTAAAAGCTTAATACCAGACTCTATTGTGTAAATTAATTTAACAAAAATTGATCATTTTCAGAGTGATCTTTACAAAGGTGTAAATGAACCCTTAACACTTAAAACCTCTTTTATAAGATGCTTATTCTGATAATTGCCAATCTGTATTCAATTAGATTTTTTGGTTGCCTTAAGCTGTCAATTAAACATTCATTACATGCTAATCACTTTGTAGACGTGATCTAATTTAATAATATAAACAACCTTATGAGGCAATCAATAGTTACTTGTCCTAGATCAAGTAACTATCAAGTGCTGGAACCAGGATTCAAACACACACCTTCATTGCTCCAAAGCTGTTAAGCTTAACCTGTTGGACTGACTGTTTCAACTCATTCAACAAAGAATATAGCAACTTACTTTACTTAATGACTAGAGGAAAACATGTTGAGTCCATCTTTTGGCAAGACCAAAGAGTTTGTCTTAAAACACTGCTCAAGATGATGTATCATTGAAGGCTCATGATGAAACAATGAGTTTATTTCTAGCACATCAAGGTATTTAAAAGTTTCAGTGCCTTGGTCACTGTTCAACAGTGAGTCAAAGTGGGGTTCCCAGGCATCCCGCACTACCCAATATAGATAATATCCAAGGTTTCTTCAGTGTTCCCTGACACTGGTTGTAAGGATAGTCACATAGCATACTATCAAGCAAGATTCAGTTAAATTAAATCCTAGAAAGATCCCAAGATATGGGCTGGGGCTGTAGCTCATTAAAGTGCTTGCCTTGCATGTGTGAGGCACTGGGTTCCATCCTCAGCACCACATAAAAATAAATAAAGATATTGTGTGTCATTCTACAACTAAATAAATATTAAAAAAAAAAAGATCCCAAGATTCACAAAGCACTTTCAATGTACATGTGAGATGGGAGCAGGAGGGTGCAATAGGCTGGTCTTTCCTATTGCTGTGTCAGTTTCTGCTACACCATTGAAAAGGTCTCACAGCCAGTTTGCAGTTGAATGTATCTTTTTTATATGCCTTCAGGATTCTTCTGATGTTGATCCTGGAAACTGCAGTAGATCAGCAGTTTGCCAAAAACAACTCACATATCATGTCCAAAAAGCCTAAGGAAAAGGAAATACAATGGCTCTGTAATGGATTCTTAGATTCTCAGTTGCTGTAGATTAGCCACATCATTCTAAAGTACAGGAAATCAGGAATTGAACAAAGAAAACTTCAGGTGTCAGAAACTTCCAGTATCAATTCAGTATGGAGCCCCTGAGTTTTAAAGCAGTCCCTAAAGTATTTTATTAATTTCTTAATGTCTGTCACATATTACTGTACAGGTCACTATGTACCGACACTGATTTGATTAAAGTCATATTTTAAAAATTTACCCAGTCCATGTATTTTCTCTGAAAAATCTACTCTGAATTTTTCTCAGCATTTAAAAATTAAAACTATCTGGGTGAACTATTTATCATTGTAGATCAGACATCAAACTAAAATTGGACTCTGATTATCTTGGGCAACCTATTGGTCTATTTTGGATAGGCTTTTATATACAAAAATGGCCATAAGTACTAAAGAAGTAATTTCTCATTCATGTTAGAAAATGAGAGTTTCTTAATCCTCACTTCCCACATTATCAACTGTCAACCAACCAAGGAAACCATGGAAGGGAACATATATTTACCTAAATCCTAAATTTCTGATGACCATTGTAGGAGCCTAAATGAAGGTATAAGAATATGTAACATGTTTGTCTTAGACTAAATCTCTTGAGTTTACTGTTTATTTTCATGCATGAATATCAAGTTCTCATTTCATGTAATTATAGGAAGTACTACAGCCTTCAGAGTATACATATGATTTCTGGAGAAGTCGTTAATTTTTATGGTAGTTTCCAGTCATATCTTACTCCAAATTCCTATTCCCGGTGCTACCACTCAGGTCTGTCCTTTATATCGTGTCATGCCAACTAAGGACAGAGACCTTGTCTCCTTTATTCTCCAAAGCTGCCTAACACATAGCTTTTAAGAAGAAGAGACTTAAAAATGCAAGAACTCAGGAGGATAGGTACAGCACAGAAATGGAAGCAACTTAAAATTTAGTATCAGAACTCACTTTTAAGGTTCCAGATATGTACATATGGAAGAAATATCTGTACAAATGGAAGAGTGTTTGTGTTTTAATACAGGCCATTTCTTTTCT